CGTAATTGCCGGATTGAAAAGCCCCTTTTAGAAACACAGAATTCAATATTGCACACAGCCTGACAGCGATGATCTGACCACTACGTGTGTTTTGAATTGCGGTTCCGGGTTAAACCGTCCAACATCACTTCTTCCAAGATTCAGCTTCTCCTTGGTAACACTCATTTCAGCTTCTCCGAAGACTCATTACGGCAACACTCATTTCGTACGCAATAAAATGCTCTTCATGCTTTAGAGTATCAGATTTCATTTATCAGCCTAAAATTCTTTGACATATCTAGCGGAATTACATTGAACGTCAACTTGTACACTTCATCCATACCTTCGTACACCAGCATTTCAGGGATTGTCAGGTCCGGATTGATCCTTTCCTGGGTGATCATCACTCGACCATCCGACATTGCCTTCAACAGCAACTGCCCGCGTCCATCCCTTTTCAAGTACACCTGCAAATAAAGTGCTGGAAGAGTTCCGAAAAATGATGAGGAAGTTTGCTTGCTTCGATCACTGGACCCCAGTGCAAACAGTGCGGGGTTCCAAGTTATCATCATACATATCAATCTCTCCTGGATCTTCTCAAAAGCAAATCGGTTGCTGAAGACCATCTGAAACCTTGTAATTGTGTGTTTTAAGAGGAAAATTATTTGAGCAGCTCTTTTTCGCCTTAGTCCTAAAGTAACTTCGAAAATGGCCAGTGGATTCCTCCCTGAGAACTCTCAGATGTGCAATCGACAAGATGTCTTCTCCTGCACGCAACAGCAACTAAATTGACAGTCTTCAGCTCCGGCTGCTTTGGTTCCTCTTTCTTGGTAGCAAAATGGTCCCTTTTTCCCGAAATTTTGGCATTTGCTGCTGCAAGAGGTGCGAATAATAAAAAATGACTTTCAAAAATCAGTTTCAGATATTGTAGCTGAAGTGCCCTGGAATACCCGAAACGGCCGCCTGTAGTAACATACCCCACTCCACACCATGGGTATTCTTCTCCTCTTCAATCGCTGCTGTCCTGGCGAAAAACATCCTCGGATAACTCTAGCATTTCAGGCTCGCGGCTTCAGTTTTCTACAGAAACGGAGGAAGTTTCGTTCACGCTCATGTCATTCCTCGTTCCAACATACATTACTACTAACATTCAAGCCGGGATGATAATTCATTTTGTGCTGGCACACGAGCAGGTCGTCCTTGCGCG